TCGGATTTGCGGCGAGAGTCGGCGATGGGCCGGTCTCTCGGAGCCCGCTGTGGGGAGGGGGTGGGCCGCGGCCTGGGGAGGCGGGAGGGCGAGCCGGGCCCTGATGCCTTGCCTCCTGTGTGCGTGCGCCAGCGTCTCCTTGCTGAACTTGACCCGGGGAGGCTGATACCAGATGTGCTCTCAAGTGGACTTGAAAGCAGGCTCTGAAGTTTAGGGGGACGCCAAGGATCCTTGCTTCATCAAAAAAGAGACCGTAGTGGAGCCGTGTGGCCTAACATGGCTGGCGTGACTGGCAGGCTTTGAGAACTGGGCCTGAACTTCTAGCACACTCAGCAAACTTAATGTGGCCTCACCTTCTCCAGTCAGACTCCCCGAAGAGGCTGTGAGATGCTGTTGAAATAACCTGTGAACCAGGAGTATCTGAGACAGGTATTAATTTAGAAAGTTTATTTTGCCAAGGACGTGCCCATGACACAGCCTCAGGAGGTCCTGATGACATGTGCCCAAGGCGGTTGGGGCACAGCTTGGTTTAATACATTTTAGGGAGACCTCACATATTAGTCAAAGTGTAAGGTGTACCTTGGTTCCCTCCAGAAAATCGGGACAACTGGAAGGGTGGGGGGCATCCAGGTCATAGATAAGAAACAGATGGTCGCATTCTTTTGAATCTTTGATCAGCTTTTCACTTAATACACGGTTTACATGTGAGAGGGGTGGAAGAATAGTCACTTATGCCTTAGTCTGCTAAATGAATCTGCGATTTTACATATACAGTAGGGCAGAGGAAGCAGATACCCAGTTGTCTCAGGTGGGTAGGGGGTGACTTTGAGTTCTGTCCTTTGCCCCATATCTGTGAAGATAAGCTGTCAATTTCCAATGCCAGGGTGAAATACAACACAACTGTTTTAGAATGAAGATCTTGAGGCCCACAGGAATTTCCTTGTGGGCAAATCGTCAGGGAGGTATTTAGCTTTCTTTTTTTAAAAATCTTTGTGACTCTTATTCAGAAATAAAATGCGAGACAGGTTTGCTTGATACAATTCCTAGCTTGACTTTTCTTTTTGGCTTAGTGATTTTTGGGGTCCTGAGATTTATTTTTCCTTTCACAAACTCATGGGTAGTGCAGTCCTGTAATTTGCTCAAATTCCTGTAAACCAAAAAAGTTTACCTGAGACAGGTCTCAATCAATTTAGAAGTTTGTTTTGCCAAGGTTAAGGATATGCCTGTGACAGCCTCAGGAGGTCCTGATGACATGTGCCCAAGGTGGTCAGGCTACAGCTTGGTTTTATGCATTTTAGGGAGACGGAAGACATCAATCAATACATGTACCATGTACTTTGGTTTGATCTGGAAAGGCAGGACAACCCAAAGGGGGCTGGGGGCAGTTCCAAGTTATAGGAGGTTTTCCAATTGGCAATTGGTTGAAAGAGATTATCTTAAGACCTGGAATCAATACAAGGGAATGTGTCTGGGTTAAAATAAAGGGGTTGTGGAGATTAAGGTTCTTATTAGGCAGATGAAGCCTCCAGGTAGCAGGCTTCAAAGAGACTAGATTTCTGATGTTTCTTATCAGACTTAAAAAGGTCCCAGACTCCTAGTTAATTTTCTCCTGGATCAGGAAAAAGACCTGAACAAGGAAGAGGATTCTCTACAGAATGTAGATTTTCCCTGTAAGAGACATCTTTGCAGGGCCAATTGAAAATATGTAAAAGATATATATTTTAGAGTAAAATGCTTTTATTTCTTTCAGATCCTGCTAGCTGTCCTGTGATGCCATATTAGAGTAAGGCTGGAATTTGGTGTCTTGTTGCTACCAAAAGCCTTAAGATCTGTTTTAATGTTAATGCTGCTCAATTTTTCCTGAGTTCCAAAGGGAGGAAGGTATAATGAGACAAGTCTGACCCCCTCTTCCCATCATGGCCTGAATTAGTTTTTCAGGATAACTTTAGAACGCCCTTGGTTGAGAGGAGGGGTCCATTCAGACGGTTGGGGGGCTTAGAATTTTATTTTTAGTTTACATTCCTGAGTGCTGGTAGACACTTCAATGTTCATTAGAACTTTATTGTTCAGACCCAAGAGGAGCAAACTTTTTGATGAAGTATTCCAAGAGAAAAGATAAACAGACTTCTGAAGAAGCAAATTATTTTGTTGTAGCAATGTCTACTAAAGAAATCAACTGGCTTCTTCCTGTTTGCCCACCTTTCCTTTGTTTATTGGTGTTTCCACCAGAGGAAGGACAGGGCAAAAGAGAGAATGAATTCATTTTTTAAGATAATGCTTCTGAGTTTTAGCACAGCATCCCACTGTACTTCCCTGGAAGCTTTATTGCCAAGGCAATAAGGAGACCATGTGAGTAGGAGTTAAATGCACAGCCATTTCTGAAGTGAGACTGCTTGGGTTCAGATCTTTAATTCTTCCCTTTATTGTATGTTGTGGAATATATTACATTGTGCTGTGCCTCTTTTACCTTATTTGTAAAATCGCGCAAGGACCCAACTCATGCAGTTGTTTGCAAGAACTGCCTGCTGTACTGTTTAATACAGTATGTGGCAAATAGCAAGTGGCTAGTAAATGTTAATAATACTGTTTGGATTCCCATTTTACATATGAGAAACTGAGGTTTCATGAAGTTAAAAAAAAATTTTTTTTGTCTAAAGTCACACTACTAGTTAGTGGTAATACAAGGAAAAGGACCAAGGTTTCAAATCTACAACTTTCTTCTTTAAGCTACAGTGCTCCCGTAAAGAGTATTTTTAAAATTTGTAGTAGGAAGGGAATTGAGATGTATATTTGGAAATATAAATAATCCACCCTATCCCTCAGCTCAGAGTTATTTTGTTCACTTTTACCAGACTTACTTGGGTTATGTCATTTTAGTCAGTATATTTGGCGGAACTATCAGGGTGTGTTGCAGAGTGCTGTAGAATGAAAGTCATGAGAAATGACTTCTAATGGTAGTTTCCCATTCATTTACTTACATGACCTTGACATTTCTCATTCCAGTGATCTCTACTAGTTTATAAAATTACTTAGTTCAAGTAGTTATATGCTTACAATACATATTCTAGAGAAAATACTCATTGAGATTATTATAAACTAAGTTTTTGACTTTCAGAAGTTCTCAATGCTTATGTAAACTGCTTAGAAATAAGTTTATCATTTTATGAAACTTGGTCATAGTTTACTATTATCTCAAATTGCTTATAAATTAATGGAAATGTCTCCCATACATTTTAAAATGACTTCTCTGTTGACATTTTGGGGTATAGCTTCCCACTTATGTATTAAAATGCAATTAAAGAAAAACCCCTAAACTTTCTGTTTTAGCTGCTTATTACTCCCATTTTGCCTTGGTATATCACCGTCTAACTCCGTAAATATTGTCCCCTACAGTCTTTTTTTATTTTTCACCTGAAAATTATTTTACTATGACTCTTTCCATCTTCTGCCTTAGTATCCTGTTTTTATTTTATTTTATTTTATTACTATTTTTATTTGAGTTCTGGGATACATGTGCTGAACATGCAGTTTTGTTGCATAGGTATACATGTGCCATGGTGATTTGAGGCACCTATTGACCCGTCGTCTAGGTTTTAAACCCTGCATCCTACTTTTAAAAATCTATATTTTATGTCAGCAAAGAAAAAAATAGATGAAGCAGCAATGGCAACATATTAATAATTGTTGGAGTGAATGATCGTGGGGCTTCATTATATTCTTCTGTACGTAAGTTTAACATTTTTCTTGATAAAAAGGGTCTAAAAGATATGCTTTTTTCCTCCTCTCTCCAAATTGGTTTCAAAGATATCTTAATTCATGATTCAGACATGTTCTTGGTTTTGTAAAAGAGATTCAGTTCATTTTTTTTTTTTTTTAATCAATGGTTTAGAAACCTATTCTAAACACTCTTTTAAATCTGTTCTTGACACTCTGTTTCTGGTTAGATACTCATTTTCCATAGCCCCATTTATCTTCGGAAGTCACAACCTTTATTTGGAAGAAGAGGTTTAAAGTCATTATTCATGCCCCAGATCCTTCAATTTTCTCTCTAGAAATTGAGAGCAACTAGAAATTATATTCCAGGTATTTGTCCTAGAGTTCAGTTTGGGTAGGCTATACTAGAAAGGGTGGATTAGTTTCTAATTAGATCTCCTAGAACACTTCAGGTGACTCAGAAGTTCCTGATAGTTGGTCTGAGGAACAAATGTGGACAGGCAGGTTGAATGTTAGGGGAATACTGAAACAGGCAATAAATAGATGATGGTATTTGGCATCAAGGAGATCCAGCCGTGTGTGGAAGATGGTCATTTCAGCTGGTCATTTCAGCATGTTGGCAAAATGGCAAAGGTGACCTAATGGATAACAGCCCACATTAGAAAGTAGAAACAAGTTTCAGGGCCAGTATTTTTAGGCCCTGGGAAAATAGGCAAGAAGTTTACAGTGAGTGTCCTGTTCCTAGAGAAACTTTGTTATCTTGTACAGTAAAAGGCAAAGCATCTGATTTCTGGAAAGTGAGTTTCAAGAGAGAGAGGTTGGATTACTGGGAATAAAGAAAGAGTGTAGATACTAGGAATGGCTTAGAAGGTGAGAGCTGGACAGAATGAGGCTGAATTGGTGCTAAGTCTCTGACTCTGAGGGCTCCTTAAATATCTCCTCCCAGCAACAAGATTTTAATAGTTTTATTGTTATTTTTAGTTGACACATACATATTTACAGGGTACCCTGTGATATTTTGTCACATGTATGCTTTTTTATTTTTCCCGAGGACTAATTCTTGCTGTGAAACTAGAGAGATGGGTTATTTTATTATTTTTTTTTTTATTTTTTCCGAGACAGAGTCTCACTGTGTCACCCAGGCTGGATTGGAGTGGTGTGATCTCGGCTCACTGCAGCTTCTGCCTCCTGGGTTCATCCCTGCCTCAGCCTCCCAAGTAGCTGGGATTACAGGTGCCGGCCACCATGACCGGCTAATTTTTGTATTTTTTAGTAGAGACAGGGTTTCGCCATGTTGGCCAGGCTGATCTTGAACTCCTGACCTCAGGTGATCTGCCTGCCTTGGCCTCCCAAAGTGCTGGAATTATAGGTGTGAGCCACCATGCCTGGCCCTAGATGGGTTATTATACTAAGTTTCTTTGAGCAGCAGCCTTTGTTCACATGTGACTCACTGGTAGTGGGTATTAGTTGGCAGGTTTGGGTGTGTCTGGCCCCCCCCCTTTTTTTTTTTTTAAAGATTTGGATCTGTGTTGTTATCAGATTGCTAGACCAGTTGATATCTATGACAGGATCACAACTAATCTGGCAGCCCTAGCAGAGAGTTACCAAATAATACTCAGTTTTTTCCCCCAGCATAGAACTGTTGAACACTGTTTTTTTGTGGGGGGGGGCGGGGCGGGGGGGATATCTAGGTGGCATCAATTATCCCAGTTTGCCTGAGCCTGAGGGGTTTCCCAGGATGTGGTTTCACTGCTAAAACTGAGAAAGTCCCAGACAAACCGGAATGATTGGCCCTCTTCTGTAACTAGCTAACATAGCTCTGTTTTATGTGTTGTGTGATTTACTTGGAGGCTATTTGCAGGTAGTACAACTGTGAGTTGTATGTTGTACCTTAATTTAAAACTTAAGTGCATGGTGTAAATGTGAATCATTGACAGAGTAGCTTTTGTTCTGTATTTAAATTATTAATGATTTAGAAAATAATTTTTACTAAAGTAGGAGAAAATATAGAATTGATATTCACTAAATGTGGTATTTCAGCTAAGTGATTTATATCCACCAAAAGTTTCCAAGTGGGATTTGTGTTTTCAAAAGAGGTTTTTTTTTTTTTTTTTTTTTTTTTATTAGACTTGTGGTAAATTCAAGAAATTATTCTACAAGTAAAAAACGCTCATAATCATTTAACATAAAAGATTATTTAACTTTAAAGCCAACTTACTTTCAATAAAGCCTGTTAAACTAGCTCACTGGTGAGTGAATGAATTGATTAAAAATACTTTCTTAAATATATCTTTTTATAACCATTTTAGATTGGTAATGGCTTAAAATCCAATGTGAACAAAGAATGTTAGGGCATTGGAAATAGCACTGACATTGGCCCATAGTTTTCCTCTGATTAAATGAAAGTGACACCAGTAGATTAGAATGAGACTAGGACAATTCACACTGCAATTGTGTTAGTTTAACTTTAACAATCTTTTAACACTCTTGTTTAAATGTAGCTGACATACCATAATTACAAATCTACAAGCCTTGATTATAGAATTTTACATCATGAACCTGTGGGGAAATTGTATTGATTTTTTTTTTTTGTTTAATAAAGCAAGCATTGTTCCCAAACTATGGCATCTTCCCAAGTTTGTTTATGTCTACATCTCTCATATACAACTGTGTATGGTGTATATACTATGTGTAGCAGGCATGAAGACAACATAAAAGGTATGTAAAATCTCTACACTATTAGTTCAATATATATTATACTGATATAAAAAGTGAAGAATGCAAATAACACATATACTTAAGTAGACATAAAGTTTCCCCCCATTAGCTTTAGCTGTTTATATACTTCTTATATTTAAAGCAATGATGCATAGAAGTATGGTGGACAGTATGTGGGAGAGGTTAAGAACATAGTCCTGTAAATTATTCCTGTAAGATTTGCTAGCTTTATTTTCTTTTCTCCTCTTTTGCACTGTACCCCATTGCTAAGTTCAGCCGGATGGCTACCTTTCTCCTTTGAAATTTAGCTAGTTCCTTTAGGAATTTCTGTAATGTATTCAGTTCTCCAAAGTGGTGGTCAGAGGCCATGTCAAAATGGATTGCAGGTGGTCAGCTCTTCACCACATTCTGCCAACTACTTGGCAAGTAGTTACTCTTAGGAGCAATATAGCAGGCAACCAGACGTCTCTGCAAGCTGGAAAGGGAGAAGGCTAAGGCCTCTCATCATCACAGTTTTCCCAACACAGGGTATTTTATTTTCCAGGTTGAATGTGGAGATGAAAGATCCTTTGCCCTGTATGTGTATGGGTGTTTTGTTTTTTCATTGTATTTTTTTGTTTGGTTGGAAATTTTGAAAATCTGTAATAAGCAAGGTTGGAAAATTTTATTAATAATGCCAGTCTAAAACTCTTAAGACAGTAAATGCTTAGATATGTGATGTATGTGATGTCTATTCTAGTATTCTACTTCCAGTAATACATTTATAAAATAATATAATAATGTTCTATTGTGATGTTGTTGTGTCCAAATAGAACTGATATTTTTCTCTTAGTAACTTGTCATAGGTCTAACTAACCCAAAGATCACTTATTTAGCAGCCTCATTCAGAACCTACATCTTACTGTCTTTGAATCATCTGGTATAGTGTTGGCACATAATACTCAGTAAAAGTCTTTGCAATGAACAGATGAAGGAATGAAATCTTCCTTTGTAAGGATTTTGAACCTGATCGGATAAGCAGTAGAGAGCCACTGAATCAATTACTGTATTACAGCATAATAGTTACTATAGTTATTTATTCTTGCAGTGAGAGTTAAACAGAGGGCTCCCAGGCTCCACTTACTACACATTATTACATATGTGACCCTGGGAAAGTTACTTAACCTTTAAAAGCCCCAGTTTTCTTAGCTGGAACATGGGGTTAATGAAAGTACCTTTTTTTTTGTATTGTTAGGAGAATTAAATAAGGTAATCATGTAAAGCACTTAGCCCAAATGCCTGATATGTAGTAAATGTTCAATAAATGCTAACTGCTCTCATTATTATCATTAACGCCTATCTTCATTCATTTGTGCTGCTATAAAAAAAATACCTGAGACTGGGTAATTTATAAATAATAGAAATTTATTGCTTATAGTTCCAGAGACTGGGAAATCCAAGATGAAGAGGCCAGCAAGTGTCTGGTGAGGGCCTGGTCTCTTGCTTCTGGGATGGTGTCCTGAACACTGTCTTCACATGGCAGAAGGCATTAAAGGGCCCAAGGCTGTGTGAAGCCTCTTTTATAAGGGCCTTCATCCCATTTACAAGGGAGGAGCCTTCATTACCTAATCACCTTCTAAAGGCCCCATCTCTTAATACTGTAGCATTGGAAATAAAGTTTCGGTGTGAATTTTGGAGGGATACAAACATTCAAACCATAGCAGCAGCAGCATCTTTATTACTTTTCTGTAGATTATCAACAGTGTGGATGAGGACTTAAGGATGAATGGTTACTGATCCCCAGGAGAGACCCTGGAACTTGCTTTAGTTTAAATTGTGATAAAACCTTGTGTTTTAGTTGCCTGTTCTGTTCGCTGATTGTCTGGAGGGACAAAGGAAGAGTATGAACCTTGTGTTTTTGAGTAATTTCTAAGACTTTGTAATGATCATCTTTTTGTGATCATTGCTGAGGCAGTGATTCCCTACCCCCAAGGCCCAGCAAAAAAAAATCTTCAGTTTATATCAATTATTTGTACTTTTAATGCTTAAAAAACACTGTATCTGTATCATTAGTACAATGTGACAAGGCCAGATTTGCTTTTTTATTGGACTATCATTAAGTTTATTGTAGGGAAGAGTAGTCAAGTGAGTTTTGCAGAAACTCAATCTATAAATGATTCACACAATGATTACAAGACATTGTTACAATTCTAGTGCTGGATTATAGTTGTTTCCAAATCCTCCTTAATGTTTTTTAACTGAGTTCTCTGTTTGTTGTTGTTGAGATCCTTTCACTTCCACAAGTATGTTATGGAGCTCTGTGTGTGTGTGCGTGTGTATTCTAACCCAGGGTTTATTTGTCTATAAAGGACATTGGAGCAAGTAGGCATCAGCTTTTTCATTAAATGTTCCTCAGCTTCTGAATAATACTAATGTCATGATTTTAATAAATCATTTGTTGCCTGAAATACATTTGTACTCGATGAAATTTTTGAAGACCTACAAGTCTGCAGAAGTGTATTTGAACTTACATTACTAGTATGGTATTATAATTTTGATCTCCAAATCTGCAATGTTAAGTTCTGAAGACCCTGCACTATATCAAAGTATACAAAGATTTTCTTAAGGCCAGAAAGTTCTTCGCATCTTTTCAAAGGGGTGATGTCTAATAATATCATTGCTTTTCACAGAATTGTTTTTCCACAAATAGACCCTTAATAGATATTTGTCAATTGAGTTAAGGACTGGAGGAAACCAGAAAAGGGTTTATGAGGGGGAACACATCAAGAGACTGGAAATAAAAGTTTGCTTTATAAATGAAAGTGAGAGACTTAGAAATGGAGAAAGAAAAGAGAAGCAACCTCTCTTAAGTAATAACCACCCTCAAATAATTAGACATTTTTCAGGATAGTATTTTTATTTTATTGGAGATATAAAAGATACGAAAATATATCAAGGATTTGTTTAAAAGCAGCAATTTTACATTTTTTAAACTAGGAAGAGACTAGTCTATTGTGGAAAATTTAAAAATTATTACAGTTCTATCAAAAAGTTTTTGCAGTTTACCTAGAATTAACTAGAATAGGCTCTTTAATTCTAGTTTAATAGAGGGGGGTGTGTTTGTGTGTTTAACTGCCTGATAAGTTACATAGACTAATCCATTCCAGGTTATTATTATTATTATTTTATAACTTAAGAAAAATGGTAGGAACATAGGTATGTTGAAATCTCATGGGGATTAGGTGGTATTTCAGGGAAACAAAATAGCAAAGGTTTTGTCCCAGTCCTTAAGGAATTTGTACATTGTTAAGTTATGCAGTATACATGTAAATGAGGATTTATTCCTAGAACTTCAAGTATGAGTGCACTAATGTATTTTTTCATTCTCATTTTAATGGATATTTAGTTTAGTTTTCTTTTTTACTTTTTTGGCCCTAGTTTTTCCCTTGTACAAATGGTGCTACAATGTACATTGTTATGTATGGCTCTTAGAAGACATATGTAATGTTGAGCGTAAGGCAGAACTTCTCAAAGAATGGATTTCAGGTGTGTGGAAGTGTATCTCTTCTCAGCTATAAGGATGGCCAGGTGTGACCAAGAGCAGCCATGAGATACATGGGGGAAGAGTCATTCAGACAGAAGAAAGAGCAAATTCAAAGACTTGAAAAAGGGAAAGATTCGCCTGTTTGAGGAGCAGCAACCAAGTGAAGGAGGGGAAAAGGGGTAGGAGATTCAGAAAAGTAGGAGGGAGAGGGTACAGGTCTTAGAAGGACTTCATGTAAGGACTTGGGCTTCAGATGTCATCATTTCTATGAGAGTTTCCTGGTTATGTCCAAAGTTAATGCTCCCTTTTCTTTGTTACCAGAGGACTTTGTAGTTTTCACTATGATAGTACTAAAAATACATTAAGCTATTTGTTCTATTTACTAGGCTGGTAGCTTCCAAAGTATGGCCTAGGAACCCCTTGGGGTCCCTAACACCCATTCAGGGGTTCTGCAAAATAGAAATTGTTTCTATAGCAACTAAGACATTATTTGCCCTTTTCACTTTCATTTGCTCACAATTGTACGGTGGAGTTTTTCAGGGACTATGTGATGTTTGATACTGCAACAGATTGAGTGTAGAAGGAGATATGAGAATCCACCTGCTTCTATTTCAGACATAAATATTTGCAAATATGTAAATAGTGCCCTTTTTCTGTTTTTTTATTGTTTTGTTTTGGAAAATAAGATTATTTTTCACAAAATAGGTTATTTTTGGTAACATTGTAGTACATTAATTTTGTTATTTTAAGTAAACATTTAAAATTTTCTAACTTTAAAAACATATTAAAAAAATTTCTGTTTTAATTTCTAATACAGTAAATATTAATAGAGATAATTCACATAAACAAAGCTCCTTGGGTAGAGTCCAGATTCAGATCACATCAGGCAAGATGTTTTCTTATTTGGAATGGAGAATTTAAACTGGGATGGCTAGCAATGACTTTTGAGTTTTGTGGAAAAAGGAGACAGAGTTTTGAGTTGTTTTTGGTTAATTCTAACAGAAGATAAGAAAGCACTGTAATACTCTATATTATTGGTGAATAAAGTGTTTCACATATGTATTTTATTATTGGCTGGGATTTAACCCTTCAAGTGCTAAAAGTATTTTTAAAGATACCTTTAGGAAAAAATTTCCCCAAATATATACTTGCTTCATCGAATTACATTGAAATTTTCTATAAATTAGTTTTTTTTTTTTTCTGAATATTGCTGTAAACTTTTTAAAGATAGGTAAACAGAGTTAAAAATAAAGATGGGAGATTTAACTGTGCTTTAAGGAATGAGTCCAAGTTAGTTACCCCAACAGTATTTTCTTTCTTTGGATACTGGTTGTATAGAATTGAATTAATCTTAATCCTTGGTTTATGCCACATACTCATTATTGGTCCATGCATGGCCCTCATTTGTTTGCTGTATGCCTGTATTTATTACTTTCAAGTAGTGTGTTAATAACGTGAGCCCATCACCTAACACAAG